CCGAATCAACGCGTAATGAATACAATGACCGCAGTGATTAAACTGGACATCATTGATGTCAACACAAATCGCGTGGCGACTGTCTTGATCTTGTCAATGTAACTAAAATGAAATTCTTGAGTGCCTGCTACCCAGTATACACGATGGGGACAAAAAGAGAAGCGCCGTGCCGAAATCGCAATTCAAATTTGCATCCTGTCATCGCATCAAAGTGCATCGGTACATGCAGGATGAGTACTCTCCAATGGCTTCCCAACTTGGAGTCTTACTGCAAACAAAGCAAGCGCAACTTGTTTCCAATGACCCCGTCCAACAGATTATCATTCTATCGTAGGCGACGTCCAGTGGAGGTCACTCGGGAACTGCACTTCCACTTCGTTAACCTGTATCTCGCCAAAATCCGTCTTCTTGTAACATTTGCAAGTATTCTCCGTTTCTCCAAAAGAGAACTCCACATCGTGTCCTCGCTGGCTGTAAGGCAGCGACATGTCTACCTTTACTGTCCATGTCCCGAGGCAGCGAACCCCTGTCTCTTCAGTTGAAAACACTTCCGCTGCTTTAGTGGCCAAAATTCTGAACATCACTTCGTCTTGGTCTTCCCCAAGAGGAAGATAATTCTGACGAGGAGATGTGCTGCCCACTGTGATATCATCACCAACGTGGCCATGAATGCTGAACTTGTCCAACAGCCATTCCCCTCCAATGCCCCTGTACTTGTTGCTTTCATGTTGCTTGTGAAGAGGATTCGAACTGTCGAAACGAACTGCGCTTCCGACCCCGTACGTAAATTTCGCCTTCCTGGATTCAAAAACGCTCGGCCTTGCTCCAAATACTGCTGCGCCTTTCACAATGGCAAGATCTGGGTGAAGGCAGATGACCACCTTCACATCATCCTTCTCGAAATTGTGCCTGAGGCTGTCCTGCAGCACCGGACTGCGCCCGAATCCGCCTGCAATTACAATGAAGCGGAGACCTGTCAAAGAGGGCTGGTTTTCTGGAGACGACATGATCGACTTGATCTTGTTCACAATATTCTGAATGGGCTCCGCGTAGAACGACATCATAAGGTTGAAGGATATGCCAACGGTGCATGATGACAACTCCTCAACTGGACGATCACTGTTCTTCCTATTCCACTTCTCCACCAGCTCTTCCATGTCTTCCTGCATTCTCAAGGCCACAAAAGCATCACCCACATTCAAGGGAGCAAACCAGTCATCATCCTCACATTCTTCCCCAGTGAATGAAAGCTTCCTGTCCTCCCAGCTGCGAGAAACGGCAAGGAACTCCCTTCGATTCTTCAGTGTCTCGAAGTTGTTGTGGCCAATGAAAGCCTCAAAGAACTCGTAGAACTTGGCGTCCACACGTGTGGCTCCGTAGGGACCGCCATCAGGTGCCATGAGCTCCTTCAGGCTCAGGGGGTCGATGCACTCCACTTGGTGGGCAGTGATGTCCACAGTGCCACCACCGCAATCCACGATCATCAGCTTGTGCCCGACATCGGACAGCACCCCGGGCACCTTGTCCATCTGCACCGATATGCAAGCACATTCAGGCTCCAGTGCGATTTTCAGGCAAGGGGAACGAAGCTCGCGAATCATGCCAGCCTTGTGCGCTGCCCTTCGCATCATCTCTTTGGCCCAGTCGTTCCAAATCGCGGGCACTGTGATCACCCAAATTATGCTGGTTGCCCGCAGCTCCATTCCCTTCTTGTTCAGCTTCCTGACAACGTCATCTTTCACATACTCCAACGCCTTGTAGATGACGTCTGACAGCCTCATCGACCTGCCATTGAGAGCCTCCACCATGGGTTCTTGTGTTGTGGCATCTGCCAGGCCCATCTTGAAGTGCTGGAAGAACAGGCAGTTCGCATTCTTTTTGCTTGCATACCTCTCTTGTGCGGCATACCCGTATGCCAAAACTTTGTCTCCCGGCTCATCCAGAAGGACATTTGAGGGTGTCTTAGAATCGTGCATGGTCCCTGCAGTACTGGAACCAGAGGGCACATCGACTTCAATGTTGTCTTCCTGTAGACCCTGGAGGGTAGTGGCATAAGCTGTTCGGGTTGTCCCAAAATCTATTGCCACCACCATCTCATTTCCAGCTCCACGGCCATACATATTTGTTCCTGCAAGAAAAAAGTGTAGCACTTCAAGAGCGAATCAACTATTGGCAAAACACTGATTCGTGGCGTGCTGCCAGTGGCCCACACTCCACCTGGCATTGTCAAGTTGGAAGTGCCAGTGAAGCCAGTACATGATCTTGTTTTCTTTGACAATCTTTCACAGCAAAACCACCAAAGGTGCAGTCCGTGTAGTCCCATACCTGGGAAATTGACCATTGTGCAAATCCAGTGTGTTCCAAGTAGGAAAAGGATAGATGAACGCAGGATCGACAGTCAGAAAACAGATGCTGCTAACATGGACTCGTTAAGAGTCTCCCAACAAGCTTCGATCAGTGCTGAAGAATGGTTCAACGACCACGTGGGCGTCTTGTGTCAATACACAGATCATTGTTGTTACCGAACTGTAGGAACTGAAGTTGCGCTGAAAGTGTGTGCAATGAGAACCCCTTTGCGAGCCACGGCATTTGCGACGCAAAGCGCACATTTCCATACGCGGAACGCCGCTGAAGTGGGGCGGACTAAGCACCTCGACTCCACTCACGACAACAGGACCACCGTCCCGCCACCACCACTCGGCAAGGGATCCAACGCTTACACCAGTGGAACCCCAGCGCAACCACACCGCCGTGCTGCTAAAACGCTCCTGGCGCCCTGCGCGGGCGACTTCAATGTACATGTCGCCGTTTCCAAGCCGCGTGTTTGACGCTACGCATTCGGCATGTCCGTGCCCCTGACGCCGCTGGCACCTTGTGGCACGAATCTGGCAGCCATTTCTATGCGAGTGCCGCCAGCTCGTTCTTGCCGTCTGGGGCATGCCGCACGGCTGATGTGGTGCCAACTACTTTCAGAGGTGCAACAATCCCGGTGTGGGGATATGTAATGTTTCATGTCTATCAAGCTCGATTCAGATCGGGTCCGTGGCCAAGGAGCGCTTAGCGACAAGACGGGATGCGCGTCCTCCTCGCTTCGAGCTCAACGGAATACCCACGGTTTCAACCCCGACAGAAGTCCCCGCCTGTCGCGTCAACACGATCGTCTGGCCCAACCCTGCGTGTTGGCGTGTGACCTCAGCTGCGCTTTGCCAACGATCCACTGTGAAGGAGCGGTTCCTCCAAACCTCTGCCTACCGTCGGGTTCTGTGGCGAGCTTACCAGCGTGGGAAGGTAGCTGGGGCACTCGCCAACGCAAAGGGTTGGAGGGTTGACCCTTCCAGACCTTCAGGTAGCCGCGTGCGTCCTGTACTGCAAGCCAAACGGGCGCAAGTACGGATTTGGGGCCATCACGTGGTGCACCTTCCAGCTTTCAAACTCAGGTGGTGAATGCCGCGGGGAACATTGGGCGCAACGAAACGAAGGTGGTCCAGGTCCTGCCACAAAGCGATTCCTACCAGCTCTCCTGCGGCATACAATTACTGGCTGCACCAAATCGGTGACTTTCTGCACTAATCGGTGACTCCAACTGCCTCCAAAACTTACCTAACCTAAACTTAGACCCTGAAACCTAAACCTAAACCTAAACCTGCCCTAACCCTAACCCTAACCCTAACCCTAACCCTAACCCTAAAACTCAACCTGAAACGAAACATAACACTAAAACTGCGGTTAGGACACAATGTGCACGTAGCTTGGTGCATGCAGTCACCGATTTGTTATACAGGCAATAATATTATTTCCTCTCCTGCAGCATTTGTACAGGGCTCAATTGTCAGACTCCGGCATCGGTCGATTCTCCGATGACTGTTGAGGATACAGATCATCAGTATAAAGACGCAAATGGAGATGGGTGCAGAGATGGAGAAGCGTCATTAATTGTAAAGAGATGGAGACGGGTCAGGATTGGGCGTTGGGGCATCAGGGTGCAGTGCATGTGTGTACAGGGTCTCTGTCTCCCTCTCCACCTCTGGCTCCGCCTCCATCTCCATCTCCGTCTCTATCTCTGTCTCCATCTATGCTAATCTACCCTTAGCCCATACATGACCGGGTGTGGTAGCCAGCGGTTTGGGACCCGGGTACCAGGTATCCCTGCGGACCATCTCATTTCTTCCTCTTTTGCCATGAGACCTCCACCATTGCTGGTTGGCCCTCAATTCCTCGGCTTGCAACACATACCTCCACAATTCCCGGAGAGGTGGCAACGGTCCGTCAAGATCGTCAACCACACGATGAAGTCATTGACATTCCGTAGTAGCCACGAACGCGATCGCGTTGATAGTCATCTCGATGGCCATACCGCCACATTTGGGACGAGCCTCGCTGCTTGTTGGCTTTGTCTTTCTTGCAGCTCTGCCCCGCTTTCTTTCGCGCATTCCCAAGTTTTCTGTTTTTTGACATATTCGAAGCATTCAGGGCCTCTCGAATGCAATTTCAGCTGCTCCATTTTACAGTTGGATTGTGGCTCAATCTTGCTGACTATGCCATATGGCTATTGTGCGGTGTAACATTGATGAGAAACCTTTAGACTCACTTGGAAAACATGCGGGTCTGGTGGGAAGAGAAACAGGCCATGCAGACGTTGGAAATTTTTCTCTGTGGGTAACCTGTGATTCCTGTGCGCATTGTTGCCCAATTAGCACGTGGGTGTTATGCAATTGCGCATTGGGAACCAGGTCAGACCGTCAGCGGCCCGTAAGATCCCCTTTTGAAATCTTGATATGAGCTGGCTTTTGGATGGGCCTTGAACGTGGTCTCCAAAAAGGTCACCACCTTCCAGTTTCTGGAAGCACCTCAAAGAGCAGCACTACGAAAACCGCTAGCAACTTGGGTTGTGTGGAAGTTCCTTCAGGTTGGCTGCAGGAAGAGGACAAGAGAAGCAAAGGGGCGACACCCCAGGTCACAAGGACGAGTAGCGACTGGCCTTCAGCGGGCCCTCTCCGAAGATGGCCTCGGATCGAGCTGTGTCCATCGTCGTGGTTGACATATCACCAAATTTCCTTCTTGAACACCCCCCGGGCACGGGCCAGCGAGTGAGGGCCAGGAGGGGCTTGCTCGACAGGATCTCGGGTCAGTTGTTCGCTGCTTGGCGGGATATGGCCAATGGCAACGTTTGCTCCTATTGCTTCCGTGTCGACCAAACCCGACTCGCGGAGCATGCAAATGCCGGTCAGGAGGTACACGCGGATTTCTTCGTCGCAGACGATTGGAGTCTGGCAGAGGCCCTGTGCACCGTGTTCATGGGACTCACTCAACTGGAAGTTCAAGAGAGAAAGAACCATCTTGGCGTGCCGCAGGAGACTAGCGAGCTCATGGAAACGCTCCAGGGCATCATCGATTGCATCAGCGAGGTGCGGCCCGTGACTGCAGTCCGTTGCCACCTGAATTCCCTGCGCGGAGCATGGAATGTGCTGAAATCGTCATATATGCCTTTGTAGGATCCGAAGGAACCCAAATACGAAGAACTCCGAGAGGCTCTGTCCTGGAAAACCCTACAGAGCGACCAACAGAATCCTATTTGGACATTACACACATGGCAAGAACCTGCGTGGGAAGGCTTTTGCTGGCAGAATGATGTGGCTTTCATGCGAAGCAAGCCCCCACACCAGCAGGCATTCAAGATTTTGCAGCTGGAGGGGGTGAAAGCCGAGCACCGACTGGGTGTGGACGTGGGGAGGGTTTGGCCAGACCTTGAGTTTCCCAAGGGCCAACCTCATCGGGGGCTGTCCATCAGTGACATCATGTCATTCAGGAAACATGTGAAGGGCAAGATCGCTGAGAAGTGCAAGCAAGAAGTCGATCGTGTGACAGCAAGAGTTATCCACGCAATGTTGACCAGCATCGAGCACCTGTTGAAATCTTTGGCCTGCCCTCCTGAGGAGCACCTACTCGCACCCCTGCACAACATTGAAATGGCAGGTAGCGTTACCCCGGGTAGCTATGTCTTCCAGGCATCCTTCTTGTCCCATGGGAGCTCATGTAGCAATAGTGTGTTTGTGCCCTGCACCTGGGGAGTTATTCGGTATAGGAGATGCATCAGTTTGGCTGTAAACAGATGGATCTTGGCGATTTTCTTCCTTATCTGCAAACTTATCCTCTTGTGGCAGGTGGCTTTGTTGCTAGTTTCTATGCTGAAAATATACCACATCCATAAGAACATTTTGCAATAACAATACTGCTGTACTGTTGCCCAGAACAAATGTTTCTGTGGCAGCTTCTTCCAGTAGTGCTGGCAAACAATTTGGAATTTTGTCTGTGGCTTAATAGTGATGTTGGATGAACAGCCTTTGCTGTTACTGTTTGTTGCCGGATTGTAGTGCAGAGAATTAAATGCATTTGTGCATCTTTTGCAGCGACTCTTGCATACCCAAAGAAGCTGCTGCCAATGCATTTCTTGTGCTCCTTCGATTTGCAGTGACGTTGTGCCTAAAGTGCAATTGTGCTCATTAGACATTGCCACATGCTTGGCCCAAAAAATGAGAGAGTTGTGGTTGCCTTTCTTAGCTCTAACAGAGCAACACAACATTTTCTTGTACCCCATCAATTTCTTGACATTGCTTATATGGACTTCTTATATTATGCAGGCTACTGGTGTGCTGAGTTTCGGGGCAGCCTGTTATCATGAGTAAGGACGTTTGCGCATTGCCGGTAGAATTGCAAACAGATCTAACATGAGCTTGCCATCACAGGTATACATGATCATGTTGGATGCAAAAACTTTTATGTCTGGTTAGCGAGAGATGGCTGACATGTATCCACAATAACAAGTGAAACGTAATCCCACCTGTCACTGGATAGCTAACATGATGAATGTAATGTAAGCATCTTAGTGTTGAAGCTGCATTCTGTACACTAGTGTACAGGCTTGGTCTCTACTGACATCAATGGCAGTGTTTCCGATGCTATTGTCTGAAGACAGCGATGGGTCCACCGCTCCAGCACATACCACTTTATTCTGTTCATGTCTGAGCTTGCAGCATCGCTCCAGTGCTTCTGTTCAGCGGCAAATGTAGGTATACTGGTAACATACTTGCCAGCAAGAAGGTGCTGGTTCATCATCTGCAATGGGATGTGTACCCACATTTAGTTGCATGCTCTGAAGTGTTAAAGAAGAAATCCAATAAGTTGGCAGCAATTGCTTTTGTGTGTGCACATTAAACATTGAGCTATTGCCCTAGATGTCGCAGCCACTGCACCCTAGTTCAGCACGGTGTAGCAACCTTCATGAAAGAATACCTTTTTGGTCTAGTCGCACACAGTGTTGCTGCCAGGATGCATATGGACTTTAAAGCACCTGTTTTACAGTGGCCAATAGCTTTGAACGTCACAGAAGCATCATGCAGGATTTACCACACGGTAGATTGTCAACTATTGCACTTGTTTCCTTTCTTTAGCTGTGACAGAACAGATGTCTGTATTCAGATCCACCACGTTGCATTCCCATGACTGCCTTTCGTGAAAGGAGGGAATTGCTGCAACGTATTGAAGCCATGAACAAGGATGCACAGGACAAAGATGCCACGCTGTTGAAGCTCCAACAGGAGCGCAGCAGAATTGGCACAGAACCTAGCATGCAATGTGGTGATGAGGCCAGCTTGAAGGAGATCAATGCTCTCTTAAGGAAGCAGCTCTTTGAGTCCGCGCAGGAGGTGGAAAGGGCTGAACATGTTGCCAACGAAGTACGGAAGCAGCTCACCATCCTGCAGCAGAGCCAGAACATCTCAGGAGAGGGGGACTTTCCCCTCAAATACCAAGCCACGAAGATGTACCTCGCCAAAGGCGTCGAATATTTTCAAATATTTATGAAGCATTACAACAAGCTGGCCAAGAGCTACGATGCTTTCTCCTGTCAAATGGAATTGGCTCTTGAGATGGAGTTCATGCTGCAGACTATAAACAGAAACGTCCAGGATCGATATGACAACCTGCTGTCCGGCATGCTCAATGGCCTGCACAACCTTGAAGACAGACACACTGCCAGCAAAGCCACACATTCGTTTCTTGCCCTGTACTGTCAGAGGTACTGGAGGCAGCTGTTTCTCGGTACTCATGCGAATTCTACGCAAAAACAGCAGGTAGGCGTTTACATCTTGGAACTATTGGAGGGGATATTATATTGCCCTTCAATCATGTCAATTCTTCTCCGATGCAGCTGCACGCGACCATGCACACACCATCATTTTTTGTGCCGAAGCATTGCGTAAACGTAGAAAAGATTGCCAAAATTATTTTGAAGCTTGCACATGAGAAGTGCTGGTTTGGTAGTATATGTTATGGTTTGCCAACCAGCAATGGCCGCACAGCAATGTGGTGACAAAGCTGCCTGATCTTAAGCCGCATACTACAGAAGCGAAGGGCTTGGAAGTGTTGCATCAGCATCACAGAATACATGGCCAGGCCCTAAACGTTTGTATGGCGCGTAGCTTGTATTCTGAGAATCTGCACAGGCCAAAATATGCTTGTTCGGTGCATGAATATATAGCAGGCGATGTAATAATGCGACTGGTCCACTTTCATTTGTTTAGTAGTTTGGGACACCCTCAACACTGATGATGATGACGCTTGAATTTTGTGAAATTATGGAACAACAAATGTTTTCGTCGGCTTACCCCTTGTGGCAGTAATGATCATTAAACTAAATGCACCTGTTTTGCTCATAATGGATCTGCCGGTCTCTGAATTGGCTGAATGCTGTCCAGTGGCATGTTTCAATACATGTTGGTTGCTCCACAGCCCGAACTGCACAAGGACAGCAACCCATTTGCTGCAAACGCTTTCGAGGACTACTGGAACTGTGACAAGCATAATACCCTGATGAAAACTGTGGCATCGTTGTCCATCAAGAAGCCACAAAACGATTCAAAGGGAGAGATCATCAATTGGTTTGAGAGTGCGTTGTGGAAGGCTTTCAAGTGGTTCTGGGATGCGAGCGTCGTGATGTTCCTCCAGAGACCTAAGTTACAGTTCTACTTTCGCCTTCAGAAGGGCTCGACCTCTGTTTGCTCTTTCAGTCAGGCTGAACACCAATTCATTGACGCTGCATGCAAAGAAGGCGAGCCCGTGGTCGTTATCGTACCAGCAGTGTTCGAAGAATCTGGAACTCCCGAGATGCGGGAGCTCTCTTGGGTGCTCAAAGTGGAGAATAGACAGAGGCGTCAGCTGGAAACTTGGCCTGCATCAACATTGGACTTTTACGAATCTGGGCAGTTCGTGTATCCTCAAAGGCGGCCCACCTGCAATTCACCGGATGCAGATCTTTACGGAGAAGCTGCTAATGCAAACGCAGCGCCGGGTGGACTGGACAGTTCTGGGGCGAGCGCGCCGCGAAACAACTATGATGGAGTCACCACCTTGGTTCCACAGCAGCCAGACCGCCAGTTCATGAACAATCCGGCAAACCGATCAAATTGCCAGGCAAGACCAGGAAATTAGATCACTGCAGTGATTTCAGATGCCGAAAATATAGTTAATGAGGGGTGAAAGAACTCCCTAATGCTTGGCCATGAAATGCGAGGGGAACGATCCGAAGTGTGTGCGCCATTTGTCAGCCATCAATCTGGTGACATCATAGCGCCATGTCGTCACGGATGAAGCTGCAGTTTTTTGATGGTTTAAAACTGCCGGATATGCCGAATTCGATGCTTCGAAACTTGGAGTACCGAAAGGTGTTGGGGTTTCAGCTTGTGATCGGATAAAGCAAGTCTTCGCTGCATGTCGATTGGCAGAGAAGCGCGCTGGCGTGGGTTGTAAGTTTAATGTACAATGAGTGTCGTGTTGATGTATTTTATGGCTGCCATCCACGTCTTCTGCATTTTGCACCACTGTGGAACCTGTCGTCTCAACAGCAAAAGCACTGTATAGAAGAATTTGCTAAAGGTGGTGGAATAGTCCAACATTCTGAAAATTTTGCTTCTGAAGCGGCTGACATTATTCCCAATGAGCTTCTTTGGTTGTTATCAGTGTGCGGTATTGTTCAGCAAAAGCGGTCGCGATAGCACGCCCAACATCGCAGTCGCTCGGTTTGTCGAGCTCTTCTTGGAGAAGCACGGCCATTGTCGTCGCTATTATCCTGATTTCAAATTTATAACCGTGCCCCCAGGCAAAACAACGAGTCAGCGCTCACGGAAAGTTAACACTTTGCACAGAAGCAGTCCGTCAATCATTGAATCCAGTAAAGTAATGGACCATGTTGCTTCTTCAAGCATGATTCCTCTGTGCATGGTTGGCAATTCTAATAATCATATGCTCTGTTGGCGATCTGGTATCATGGCATTGGTTTGGAGTGCGGCCAAGCGCAGCAGTAAGACTTCGAGGCAATGTTGAGGTTTTAGAAACTGTTAGAGTACTTTGCAGCGTTGTCACTTGCAAGCCATGTGCATGCCCGTCCTGGCCAATGAGAATGCAAGTAGGCACTCAAAATGCCTTACCCAGCCCGGCTACTTCCCGATTTACATTAGTGTACTTGACCAATAAGCAGCTCCTCCTGCGCAATTAAAACTGCAATTGGTAGCTTTGGGCAGAGGTGATGGATGGAACCCAGGTCAGTATATCAGGATCCCAGTAGATGCTTAACCCATGTACAACAAGGCTTTTCAAGTAAGCGATTGCAAAATTGTGCTGGATATATCCAGCACTTTTCTGCATGTGCAGCACGATTTTCTTGTAGAATTGCTGCCACATTGCTTCTTACATAGCGTTGGCGGTTTCTGGGATAGACACTATCATAAAGGAACAGAAATTGGTCCGAAAGGCTCCTGAATTGTACTTTCTCCGTCTCAAACTAAATTGCAGTTATGAACCGCGGGCCTGGAAACCTAGCTAATCATCTTAGATTTGGCAAAAATTTGTTTGAAGTCATTTAATTTTGAGACTCTTTTGTGATTTTAATTTTTTGGGTTAATTGACTAAGTATCCAATCCGCAATATCGTTTTTAACAAACGTCACTCAGCCATGTGTTTCCAGGTAGGCCCAAAACAACCCGTTTCCGGGCCGTGGACCATGCCACCTTGCTGTGCTCCTCACCGTGCAAAGTGACGCGATTTATAGATGTGCTTCAGACTACAGGTGGGATCAGAGATACAATAGTGGAGGGCAGGCCACCAGCTTGTCCTGAAAGGCGTGATCGAGGATCTTGCCTGCTTTTCCATGGCAAAAAAACGACCAAATAACACTTTTGCGAAGACATATATATATATATATATGCATTTCATCATCGCTCTGCACGCTAAAAACACGAAAATAACCTCAGCCAATAGACTTTTTACTCGTTTGAACACGCGTTATTTGGCTCTTTTTATGTTTTCCTCTATCGTCATTCCCCGAATTGTGCGTTGGTTGTGCTGGGCGATCTTTCCAACTCTCACTGCGTACTGCTCCCACCGAGTCTTGGGACGTTGGCAATCCCTTTTCTGTGCACGGGATGTGTTCCATGGGAACGTTGATTGCATTCCGGAACAGCTTACCAATGTTCTCCATTGTTCGGCATGAAGTCCCAAATGTATGAGCCAGAATATTTCCAGGCGCACTGGTGGCCTGCCCTCCGCCTTTGTATCTCCTATCCGACCTGCAGTCAATAGCGTATCTTCAACTCTTATAGATTCGCATGGTGAAGGCCACCGCAATGCGGCAACGTACAGGGCCTGAAAAAAGGTAATTTCAGTGCCTCCTTTAAAAACTGGGGTATTTCTGGAAATGTGGGGTCTGCTTAGAATGGCACTGCGGATTGACTACGCAGCCGATAACAAAAACAATACCAAAGAGACACTTGGATCCTCCGATTGAGCACCCACACCCTCATTTCTAATGTTTGCTGGGGTTGATGCCTGCTTGAGTAGTGGTGCTCCCTATACAAGGCAAGCCATCAATTTGATATCTGTACTGAGCAAAGGGCTTTTGGTGGATATAACTATTCTACAGCTAGTCTTAAGACACCAGGAGATCTACTGGCAATGGCCAATCTCATACATGTTGGTGCGCCGTCGTGGACGCTGGTGCGGATTGCCAGCGAACACTGATGGCGATGGGGAGACCTAGCCGCCACGTCTGCCGATCTTCCCTCGCGAAGTATGTCGATCTCTGAACTAAAGCCCGAGCAACGAGGGAACCCTACCCTTCTGGTACAACGAAGGCAACCGAAAGGGGTATCGCTCGTCATTGGGGTCTCCCTGGATCCAGGGAGCCAGTTTTGTTTGGTTCACCGAATGTTAAAATTTGGGGCCTGAGTCATGTGGTTTCAAATACTGCCCAGTGCATGAATCTTATTTTATGCCAATCAATTTTTGAAAGTATTGAATAAACACAGAGTGGGTGCTCTCGTCCAATTTTTAAGGAAAAATACGAAGAATGTGATACAAATATTGTCAGTCGACAAATTGTTTCATTTAATTCCGGACGGAGGAAGTATGATTTTGTGATTGTTGTCGCGCTCGAAGCCAAGTCTCTCCATGGAGATGGATCAATGTCATGGACAGTGGCGCAGACAGAGATGGATATTCTGGCAAGAAGAACGTAGAAACGCAGCTGCTGATGGATGTGCATTGATCCATGATACCCATTGATCAGTAATTGTATGAGGAAGTACAAAACAAACTGAGAGAAGATGGCATATTCAATAAACGTTTTCTCTTTATTTCAAAATCATGAGTGTTCTGCACGCTGAAAACACGAAAAAAACCAAAACCCGTAAATTTTGAACACGTGTTATTTGGCCCTTCTTTCCCCAGTGTATATGCCACGGAAGTCAAGCAGGCGCCTTTGATGTCAGTCGACCCAAAGGCGACGCAGCGCCAGGCAACGCCAAAGGGCCGCCGTTACACCACAATGCCACAATTAGCACTAGAATCGACGCCCACGGGAGGCGCCACACTTGGAACCACTCAGACCCACCTAGGATTGGTATTTGCGGCGTGAGTACTTTCTGTTTACGGCTATTTGCGGATAAAAAATGTTTTTTACGCCGTAAATAGCTATGAAAATGCATAGAAATGGGCGCTGTGTACTTAAATACGATACATGCAGATTCTTGGATCCCTGACTATGACTATAAGTCTGGGTAATGGCAGCTAGATGTGCTGAGGGGCAAAGAAATATCCATGAAATGATGTTTTCTGTCAGCGACATCGTTGCCCCTACAGAGGGCAACGTGTGCGCTGTTTTCTGGTGGGAGTGGAGCATTGATCGCCGATTGGAACACCTTCATGTAACCTGGGCGGGCCGACAAGCCGTAAATATGCGGCACTGTGGCCGTAAACTTGTCCATTCCTCCATTTACGCGTTTTTGCGCAGGAAAGCATCGACGGGAAATTGGAGTTGTACACGTAAATAGCAAGCCTGATCAAGAACTCTATTCTTGTGAGCCACCTCAAAGCTTAAAACAAAAAATTTCAGAACTTTTGGCCTTCGGCGCACACGCATTGTGCTGCCCTTATCATCGTGCACAAGGCGTCACTGCGCCAATACGTTCCACATTTGAGACGTGAATAGCGAAACATGATTCCGATATCGATTGACTAGGCCAGTCTAATCCTCTTTGCCGGTTTGATTACCCTGAAAATATGGTGGTTGCCGTTGGAGCCGATGATGGGTAACAATAGTTTATAGTGGTCTTAAGTGAGAGAAATGTAATGTAAATTAATTTCTGTGAAATGCCTCCATGTGATACACTCCCCCTTGGTCCTGCGTCCCGGCAGAAGCCCACTGAGGTAGAAGTGGAGCTGGTCATTTTGGAGCAATAAGCTTACCCTGTGAAGCTTCTAAGACGAGGTACTATCAGGAAGCCTATGTGGCGCCCATGTCTGCCTTCGGCGTATGTTGCAAAAGCTGTAAATCTGATGGCATCCATGGTCTACTGAAACAACCCATTACTTGCGCCCAGTGTGGGTACCATTGCATTACAGCATTCCAATAAGCAATACCAAAGCAGCTGCAATTAGAAGTAAGCATGAGTCGCTTGTATCCGATGGGCGGACATGAAATTAAGAAATCTCCATCCGCCATTCGCAAAATTTGCCGCGGTTTCCACCACTTCGCAGAAAAAAATGAAGGCAAACAATAAAAGGAGCGATGGACATCAGAAAACATCCCAATGAAGTAGCATGGTTCCGGAAAAAGGTCTCTTTAGCCCCACAATGTGGACCCCATGGCATGCGACTCGGTCGTAGATTGGGGCGAGAGCAACGCTACTCTACGCTGGTGTCAATCAACCATTGCAACGCACGGAAAGGGGGTGCTCGTCGCGAAGGTGGAGGTGGAAGCGGAAGCCTTTTCACATGAAGTTCCAGCGAGCCTCAGCGCGCATTCTCCATCTCATGCGCCTTTCCGCGTCCCAGGAGCCATCCACCATCTCGGCTCATCCTGCATGCACACCAGCCCGAGCCAGTCCGCCTGTTCAAAACCCGAAGTACCCCTTCGTGTGTCATCCAGCGCAGGCTGTGGCGTCCCTTCCGGGTTTGCGGCTGTCCCCTTCCACAAGGGCTGGCCCCCGCCCTGGCCTATGTCGCTCTCCCATGGCGCCCCCGGGGTGGCTGCTGCCTCTTTGTGATTCGGCCCCGGTGGTCCCCCGACACCTGAGCGCCAGAACAGCTTTGGCTGCCAGGCCGGTGTCCCGCAGAAGATCTGCTGGCTGTGGTTCGGACTGGCGACCACGTTTTGGGTGGGTGCTGGAGACCGTTTAGATTCCTCTACAACTTGGAGAGGGGGTCTGCGAATGAATCGGAGGCCGGAGGTCGAATGAATCGGAGGACCAGTTGGGGCACCTGGTCGGCCTGCATGCATCTTGTGTACACCCAGCATGCGCTGCAGACGGAAGGTCGCTCGCCAGCGGCCCTGCGCAAATTCTTGAAAACCTAGGCAGACAGGCCCGACTGGGTGCACACCCCAGAAGCAGCTTTCCGTCGCTGATTTGTGCAACAACCTATGCCAGCTTCACACCACTTTCCTCCGGGCTGCGATTGTGCTGTGGCCCCTTCCATCAGGCTTTGCGTCGTCGCCCAGACGTCAGGGCCAACTCTGTGCTTCCTATACGTTGTGAACACCGTGTCTGGTGCTGGCATGCACAAGAGTTGCAGTTTCGAACGTTGGAATGTACTGTTTTAATTGTTTGACAAGTCAGTTGCAAAAAACACTTGCTTTCGCCATTCAGTTTTGTAGCACCCAGCAGTGAAATCTCGAGTTCGCTGCCCGTTACTCCCCTGGGATTGGAGCAACGGCACACAAATTCAGCATAAGCAGCTTCCCACATGATGATGAACAGTCGTGAACTGCATGTATACGTTACATAGTCCTTCTTTGATTCGGCACAACTGCTTTCCCAGGTGTAAAATACGGAGTTTTAAGAACATGTCTATGTGCCACAGATAGCCTGAAAATGTCCGACAACAAGGTGGTGGTAGCTGTGGACTTTGGCACCACCCGTACAGCCTACGCAACAACGCAGCAAGGGCTGGCTGAGGATGACATCGAGGTCCGAGTTCCAGCTGGTGCCAGCAACCTCTGTACGTATGACTCTAAAACCCCATCCAATGTGCTGATCGACATGGAGGGCCAAAAGGCCATTGCTTATGGGTTCACTGCACATGAGAGATATTGGAACAAGCCTGATGGCGACTGGCTGCTTTTCCGCTGGTTCAAGATGAAGCTGCACCAATCCACCACACAGGACCCCATGGTCAAGGCCCTGAATGGGAGGTCACTGAAGCTGTCAGTTGTGCTCGAGAAGTCGCTGGAGTACCTGAAAAACGATGTAGTGAGTACCCTGAATGCCCAGAAAGGGCTTGGTCTTTCTCCTGAGGACATCATTTGGGTGGTCACTGTGCCTGCCATCTGGAATGACTGGGCCAGAGAGATGATGAGGACAGCAGCGTTCAAGGCGGGCATGATACAGAGCCAGCGGTCCAAAAACCTAAAGATTGCGCTGGAGCCGGAGTGCGCCTGCATTTCGGTTCAGATGGAGAAGATGCAAGGCGTCTTGACTGAGGTAGGGCAGAAGCTGATGATCCTGGACTGCGGCGGAGGTACGATCGATTTGACTGCGCATCAGGTGGAGGCCACAGACCCTCTGGGGCTTAAGGAACTGATGGCTCCCGAGGGCGGCCCGTTCGGGGCCACGAAAATTGATGAGAATTTCTATAAGTTCTTCGAGGACTTGATCGGGCCAAGCAGGTTCCAGACCCTCAAGCAGAGCAGGGCCTACCTCGCCCTTACCCGTTACTGGGAAGACAAGAAGGTCTCGTTTCACGGGAACGAGAACGAAGAGGACGACGAGTGGCTGGCTGCCTTGAGCATTGGGGACGTCGTCCTGAGTCTCAACATGTGCGGCGAGATGGAGGGCCTTGTATCGATGTGGAATGCCCGCAACCCGCACCGCAAGGCTGAGGCCCTGAGCGACTCCAGCCTGGGCCTGACCTTCGAGCTCATGATGTCCTTCTTCGAGGGACCGATCAAGAACATTGTGGACAAGGTGAACGCGGTGATGGCCGACCCCAAGAACCAGGCGGCCCTAAAAGGACTCAGCTTCGCCGTGATCGCCGGCGGCTTCGGCCGCAGCCCCGTGCTTCAGAAGCGCATCAGGGAAAACTTCGAGAACAGTGCAGTCAGGGTGGTCGTCTGCAGACACCCCGACCTAGCAATCGTCAAGGGCGCCGCGGCGTTCGGCAGCAGGCCCAATCGATTCTTCGAATCCCGCGTTGCCAAGTTCACCTACGGGGTGGGCACCAGCAGGGTGTTCGACCCGACGGACTCCCGCCACAGGCAGCACGAGCACTGCAAGTACATGGGTCCCGACGGGAAATGGAGGATTGACGTGTTCAGCGTGCACGGGAGGGCCGGGGACGACATAGTCGTGGGTAGCGCTTGCGGCAGGCAGAGATACCGGCCGTCCTTGCGCGATCAGGACACCATCACGTTCAGGATCCTCGCGACGGAGGCGCAGGACGTGTTCCTGCAGGAGGAGAGCGGCGTGCGTGTGCTGGGCTCCTGGACGGTGGAGGTGGACATGTTGGACGACTACGACGAGCGCTGGTTCCAGGTTGAGTTCTCTTTCGGCGAGACGGAGACCGTGTGCAGGTGCTTCAAGGAGGCCAGGGGCGGGGGGGAGGGGCCGGAGGTGAACGTCATGGACGTCGAATTCCCCAGCGACATCCACTGGACGGCGCCAACGATGTGAGCCGCTTGTCAAGAGTGGATGAGTTGGCTGACGGTGGGATGTAGGAATTGGCGATCGGAAGGTTGGCCAATAAAATTCTGCGCCCTTTGCGTGCGAGGAAGGCACCGGGTGCTATCGGTGTTGGAAACGAGGTCGAACGACCTGCGCTGCAGGCTGCGATGGGATGCAGGAAAGTGGATGTCGATGGCGGTTGTGAGTTGCAGAGACCCTTCTTTCGAAACTCATGGATTTCATGGAATTCCATGGTGATTCTGGTTCGGAGGGGGCTTGCACTGCATATTCATTAATGATCTACTTGTAAAACAGTTGTAAATGCTGGATTGGCTCAGCTGCCATACCAGAAGTATTTCCAGACAGGCGTGACCGATTCAATTACCATAGGTTTGGACGGAACAAATCCGCAAAGCTTCCAAATTTAACGCTGAGCCGCTGATGACTGTTCATCTGCGGAGCTGGAGTGGACACCTTTAGCCGCTGTGCTCAGCAGCTCACCCAAGCAGAGTTTCGAAATGGACATTGTTCAGTGCGTGTGTCGAAACGCTCACGCAATAATCGCCACATCCATTGCTCACAATCGATTTCTCTTTTGTTTTGCTTTCCTCGATCTCAGCCTTGACTGTCATCTAATGATCGCTCCGAAGGCCATTGATCGCCATCATCACATTCCAACAATCGATACTCCTATGTAGCCCAAACGTTCAGAAATCCGGAAGGCGTCATGCATGCACAGCGAATGCAAGTTGCGCAGTTGCGATTCCACATTGCAAACATGCGTAACACGCCTGTCCATCGTGGTGTCCGGCCAATTTGTCTAAGGGCAACTTGTCTAACGAGTGATCCTCGCTAAACGCAGCCACGGGTTGGTTGTGTACCAATGACACAAATTTCCCTGTTATGTGTACCACTCATTTTCAAAGCCGTTGTGTGTGTTCTGCTGCCCTATGGTTTTTGCAACGTTGGCTCCCTCTGCCTTAGACTGGTCGTCTTTAGACGAGCTGAGTCAACTCGCCTAAGCAGCGTCCATCAATTGCATTTAACATCAATTACATTTCATTTCGTTTGTGGCGGGCTGCATTCGGAACTGGTTCCTGTGCGCATTCCTGGCATCCGCAGAGGGGTAGGACAACACAAGAGGGTGAGCGCCGGTCCAGTCACGTGGCCGGCGGGTGTGGCGTGGTTTGACACAGCGTGGGGCGCCGATTGGCAGCTATGAAAACCGAAGATTTAGCAGGGCACAGAGGTGGATAGACGGGAGATACGGCCAAACGTCAGCGCCGATTGGCAGCGATGGAGCGTGCACATTATGCAATACATGAAACTAGGTCGACAAGAGAGGCTCGCAAAAGGCAGAGTCGACCAGCAGATATGGAGCATGGAGATTCCCCAAGCTGCAAAGGGGGGTTCTACGGGAGAGGCAGGTGAATGGCAGCGCCGACTGGGAGCGATGGAGCCCACAGAACCTGCCAGGCAAGAAGGCGGATCGACGAGAGATGCGGGCCGATGTGACCCTAGTCCTCAATGGGAATCGATTTATGGACAAAAGGCATTGAATCTCCACGCTCGCAAGCATCTTTGTACAAGGAATTGGGTGGTGGACAACACCAATTATTGGTGGTGCGAATGCTGCGACTACCTAGGTCGAGTTATTTTGATTGAAGATTTGGCTGCGAGGAACAACGCTACCTTACAATTGAAAGGCGAAAGAATCATGCCTCGCCATCTGGAAGATCAATTGCGCCCCAAACATGGCCCTCAAGCGGCGGGCTATTGAGACAACTTGTGGGTCGACATCCTTCATGCGTGAAGTGCTAAGCCACATTAAAGGCGGGAGCAACAGATACATGCCAATGGAGCATCCCTTGGTATGTCAAGTGCACAGAATCTGCCACGCTGGACGCACAAGTGAGCCACAAAGTCTTACTGAATTGGATCTACACATCAACATCGCCTTTAAGTTGCAAGGGCAGTGTTTTGTCATGTTATGTGACAAATGTAATCAAAGTATTTGAGGATCTACACATATAATTCACACAAACAGTTGTTGTTGTTTGAGAACAAAGGAGCTGGTGGCGATCCACAATTCCTAATCTTTACCATGGGAGTAGATATCAGCTTCTTGGCGGGCTCTGCCTTTTGGTTGTTGCATGGGACGTTCAGAAAAGCAACAGCTCTCTTCCGTCAGCTGTGCACTATACACGCACCAGTGGGAAATGGGGAGGCACAAAGGATTGCCCCTCTTGTGTATATTTCATGGAGAGGCGCACTGAGGCAAGCTAAGCCCAAGTGTTTAAACGGTTGTCCACCTATGTTTTAAAGCTGGCCACGACGTCTCACCCAAATTGTGATCACGGATTCTGAGAAGGTTGCAATAAATGCTTTGCACCCCGCATTTCTAGAGGCACAATTGTAGGGCTATTTTGCCACTTCGATCAGCGTGTGCTGCACAAGGCCCAGAACTTGGGCCATGCAACAAGATAAACGGAGGATCAGGCTTTCGTATTGCTATTGCAAAGGCCTGTGGCATTGGCACTCTTCCAACTAAACAAGGTAGGGACTTTGTTTCACAATACCATTTCTTTTGGGGTTCTTTGCAATGTCACCATCTTTGGTCCAATACTTCGAGGGCACTTTTCTTCTTGGCATGGTTAGACAACAATGCAAGGATGGCACCCCTGTTACGCGCACTGGCCTGATGTGGGGGACGCCCTACTACTGGCCCTTGGTGTGGGGGACGCCCTGCTCAAGGTCGTATTATATTCCTTGTCCTACAGTAACCATTATACTTATATGGATATGGGAGTTGGAGGGGTGGTCCCGCCTAGGTCCCCGTAAGGACCTAGGTGCCCGGCGAGGCGGGTCCGCGGCTCAAAGAGGGCAGGAACCCCACACCCATAGCTTTTTTGTATCATTTGGTTTCGGAGCCACCTGAGGGTGGCTACCACGCTTCCGCCTAGGCGGACGCGCAAGTTCGGAGTGACGGGCTTCCTCCCCGGTCTCCGCCATGGAGGCCGAGGAATCAGACAGTTCTGCCCGCAAGGGTACCCCCGACACGTCGGGAGAGCTTGAGACACCCCGGGAGGGGACACCGACCTCGGTTGGTGA